GGGGGGGGGGGGGGGGGGGGGGGGGGGGGGGAGAAATTTCGAGACGAAGTAGTGATGTATAACAAACAAAAAAGTAGAGGTGGTTAACACATGCATAGAGGGCATTTTCAAATGACCAAGCCTTGCCAAATGCTTCTGCAGTAAAATCGTTAAGCTATTCTAATTCCCTCAGCGAACGAAACGAATGCAGAGAGCAGACTGATATTACCAGCAAGTGTAACACTGGTTAAAACCCTGTTGTAAAAATTATGAGTTATACAGCTAAATTCCAAGTATGAGTACCACTACAATCTCTGGTGTGTAGAGGCAAACTTATTAATTACAGCCGATCGAAGTATCCCAAGTATCACTGAAATCTCTGCTACGTAATTAGCAAATGCTGTTTCAAGACCCCAGCTACAAAGTATGGAAATTTCGCCGAAAAATCGTCTCTATTTCCAAAAAAGTGCCCAAAGTCATACAAATGATGATGATGCAGTGATGCTTTTTCGATAGACTATAACTGAAAAACGTAGGTAAAAACACTGTGCTCTGAAATTATTAACAGATTAATATGAAAAACTATAAATTATCATTTACTGCCTGAAGAAAGGTTTCAAGCAGAATGTTGCTTATCTTGGCACTGAGCAGTAGCAGTATAAAAAATGACTGATGCGCATTCTCCAGTTCTTATCAGTAGCAGTTATTGAGTGTCTCTGATAATGTCCCCAAATATACAAACAAAAAAGAACGCAGAATTAAAAATATAGAATACCACAAAAAAATGGAAGAAATAACTATAGTAAAAAGCTGAGGTAATATTTGAATAAATAAATAAATAAATAAGCATAAACACATATACGTACATGTATTTGAACGAGTCATTTGCGCCTAGCGTTTGGAACCATATCGGTAACATCACTGATATGATAAAACCACCGTAATTGTGCGGACGGTCTTGATATTCTTGGAATGCTTACACAAAAATTACCCATTATCCCATACATGGCTTATTTCTTAAACGTATTTGTTATATTATAACATATATATATA